GACTGCCAACAGTTAGATCCAAACCTATACTGTTTGGGAAGTGGGGAGGGAGGGGAGAAATAATGCCAGGTTTTTCTACTGGAAGATTAAAAACGCTTGTGTTATACTCCTGCTCTCTAGCTCATAAGCGCAACAGTTCTCCTTCACTCCGTACTTGCGGAACGAAGTTAACTCCCTATGGGCTGGCCCCTTTCCAGACCTGGCAGACTCCTTTGAACACCTGCAAAATAGGAGACATGTCAGTAGCTACTGGATTTCCCCACACCCCACCCAGAGCACCATGTCTGTCTTTTTGCTGGAGAAAGTACAAGCTGTTGAAATTATGCCGCTCATACAGCTGTGAAAAGAACAGGATCCCTGCTGGTAGCAGCCCTTACCACCAAGCTGGCATCTACACCACTGGAAGATGGCATATAACTACCATAATGCACCTTTTTTTTTTTAGGGACACGGGTGGCGCTGTGGTCTAAACCACTGAGCCCAGGGCTTGCTGATCGAAAGGTCGGCGGTTCGAACCCCACAACGGGATGAGCTCCCGTTGTTCGTCCCTGCTCCTGCCAACCTAGCAGTTCGAAAGCACACCAGTGCAAGTAGATAAATAGGTACCACTCCGGCGGGAAGGTAACGGTGTTTCCGTGCGCTGCTCTGGTATCGCCAGAAGCAGCTTAGTCATGCTGGCCACATGACCCAGAAAAACTCTGCGGACAAACGCCGGCTCCCTCGGCCAGTAAAGCAAGATGAGTGCCGCAACCCCAGAGTCGTTTGCGACTGGACTTAACTGTCAGGGGTCCTTTTACCAGCTCAGTCAATAGTTCTGAAATTATTTTATCAGTACAGTGGTACCCCGCAAGACGAACGCCTCGCAAGACGGAAAACCCGCTAGACGAAAGGGTTTTCCGTTTGCGAGTTGCTTCGCAAGACGATCTTCCCTATGGGCTTGCTTCGCAAGACGAAAGCCCATAGGGAAATCTCCGGGACAGCGGGGAAGCGCAGCGTGTCTTCCCCACTGTCCTCGGACCTCCTCCCGCCGCCCACCATCGGAACGAAGCTCGATGCTGGGCGGGGGGGCGGGAACACGTTCTCCCGCCGCCCGCCATCGGAACGAAGCTCCGATGCCGGGCGGGGGGGCGGGGACACCTCCTCCCGCCACCCGCCATCGGAACGAAGCTCCGATGCTGGGCGGGGGGGCGGGGACACCTCCTCCCGCCGCCCGCCATCGGAACGAAGCTCCGATGCCGGGCGGGGGGCGGGGATGCGTTCTCCCGCCGCCCGCCATCGGAAGGAAGCTCCGATGCCGGGCGGGGGGGGCGGGGACGCGTTCTCCCGCCGCCCGCCATCGGAACGAAGCTCCGATGCCGGGCGGGGGGGCGGGGACACCTCCTCCCGCTGCCCGCCATCGGAACGAAGCTCCGATGCCGGGCGGGGGGGGGGCGGGGACGCGTTCTCCCGCCGCCCGCCATCGGAACGAAGCTCCGATGCCGGCGGGGGGGCGGGGACACCTTCTCCCGCCGCCCGGCTTCGGATGGCTTTCCTGAAGACTTGGGGTGGGAGGAGGGTTTTCCTTCCCACCGCCAACATTCAGAATGCTGTTCTGAATGTTGGCGGTGGGGAGGAAAAACCCTCCTCCCACGCAAGCCCCGGGAACAGAGGGAAAGCGCTGCGCGCCTTCCCCTCTGTTCCCGTACCTGTCCTGAAGGCTTGCGGTGGGGAGAAAAGCCCTTCTCCGCACCGCCAGCCTGGCAAGCGGTTTCCCTAGGAACGCATTAATTGATTTTCAATGCATTCCTATGGGAAACCGTGCTTCGCAAGACGAAAAACTCGCAAGAAGAATAAACTTGCGGAACGAATTAATTTTGTCTTGCGAGGCACCACTGTATTGTAGTGGACAAGACTGGGAAGGAGGCAGCACAGTCATTTCTCCTTCCAGACAGACATAGCTGTGGTAGATTGCTATATAGCCTTTCTGGAGGCTGAACCATGTGTGGGTAGCAGTTCTCTTGGGACTCTTGCCTTAGTACAGTTGTTGAGCTCATATGAACCATCACCAGGTAATAGAGAGAGTCATTTAGATCCCAGTCTCCTCTATACCGCTGATGGATTACTTTAATTAAAGTTAGAATTTGCTTTCTCAGTGTGAAGATGGAGATTTGAAAAAGCAAATATGTGATGGCTTTATTTTGATGAGAGGTAAAGTTCTGCTTTTAGCTAAGGAGCAGAATACAATCAGATTTGTGGGTGACGCACAGATGGGGAAAATTGGCTCAGAAATTAAAAGACAAAAATAGTTCAGTTGAGCTATGTTCTAGGCAAATCTTAGGAGTTTTTAGGAATCTTACTCATTAGGTTAGTTCCAAAGGTGCTTCCCTGCTTACAGAAAATTATTCTTCCATTCTCATGCTACAGCAGAAGTTGCAGCAAAGCACTGATTGAGTCTGGCTGCCTTGAGCAATTTTTTAGTGCCCCTCCCAAGGCCAGTGTGGTAGTGCCAGGTGGCACTGTGCCCTCTCTGCTCTTCAGATGATGGATGCAGTTTTCTTCTCCGTTGTGGTGCTGTGCTGGGTGGAGAGGTTATTTAGCTTTACATTTCTCCTGGATTAAACCCAGATCCTAGATGCCAAGGTTTCAGTGGTGGCCAAGAGTGTGTTTGTATGTTTAAAACTCGTTCCTAAAGATGTCTGATCAGACCATGATAACACATGCCTTAGTTAAAACATGTGTGCATTACTATAATATGCTCCTCATGGGGCTACCTTTCGAACAGTGTTTGAAACTCCCATTGTTTTAGGCGCATTTTGGGACATGGAATTTCATTCGGACGAGCAGTTTCTGAGCTCTGGGTGCAATACCGTGCCTAAGATTTCAGATTAAAACTGCAGAGTGGAAGGAAAGGAGGACCTTTCTCTGCCGCCTCCCTTCTATCTACTCTCTGAAGACTGGAGAAGAGACCCTCTTAAGAATATTAGGGGGATGGGCAGGGGAAGGACTAGATCATGTGAAAAATTGACATAATATTTTTGCTGCAGTTCATTCATTTTCAGCTTTGTATTCTTGTTATTAAAAAAGCGTGCCTAGATATTCTCTTGTTGGGCCCATAACCTAGGTTTAAGGTGCCATTTAGCTCCTAGCTTTCATATCTCAGTTTCTAACACTGCTTTGGAGAAGTGTTTGGAAACTTCAGCAGGTCCAAGATGCTGTGGCCAGATTGCTGACCAGCTCCAGTCAAGCAGGGGCAAAAGAAACTCTACCAGCTACCAGTCCGTTTTGGGGCACAGTTGAAAGTGACTTACACAGCCCTATGCTTGGGTCCAGGGTATATGAAAGATAACATCTCCGTATATGAGTCTGCTTGGGCTTTAAGATCTTCTGGGGCGGCCTTTCTATCAGTCCTGCCAACTTCACAGGCATGTTTGATGAGGACATGAGAGACCTTCTCGGTGGCTGCTCCCATATTGTGGAGCTCCTTTCTGTGGGAGCCTAGGCTAGCTTTCATTTTTCCAGCAGTCAAATACTTTTTTGTTTAGACATCCTTCTGGCCACTACCCGTCCCATAACACCCTTTATAAAAACTGTTGACAGCAAAGCATCATCTTAAGAGGAACTCCTCCTTTCCTTCAAACACAAAGGAATGCTTCTTTGTGCACTGTAGAAGTCATATTCTAAAATGGATGAGGAACCTCTAGTTCCCAATAGTCCCAGCCAGCATTGCCAGGAGTGAGGAATGATGGGAGTTACAGTTCACCAACATCTGAAGGAGCACAGGTTCCTCGCCCCAATCTACATGCAAAGTATTCTTCAGAACTATTTTGCTTACAAATTCAGTTGGCTGAAACTAATATGATTAACTGACTTGAGAGTCCTTTAATTTGATGAGAGTCTTACTTCCAATCCCATAGTTTCAGTGTGAGAACTAAACACTACCTTAAATTGTT